ACACATATATATATATATATATATATATATATATACACACACACTTTTGTGCAATTTGTTCAGTGTTGTGTCGTTGGATTTTTCTAACGCAAAACGTGTACCGTGGCCGAAAAAAGGTCGGGAAACACTAGAAGAAAAATGTCGCTTATGACATCAAAGAATAGAAAAAAAGGCTCGAAGACAGAAAATAAGTCGGAAGATGAAAGAGTAAAGTGTACCTGCTTCTTGGCCGAGAGTCTGCGATATCGAACTGGGGAGGGTACGTCTGGATGGACGAGGTGCCGCGCTCAGGTTCTGGTGACTCTTCCAGCTCTGCGCACAGGACGGGGAGGAGTTGGAATCACAATATATTTATTTATGTTTAAATACTAAAATGTTTGATACCATAAACAATGTCAGTTTGACTTTTGGGGGAAAACAACAAGTTTATTAGAAGAGACTCACATTCAAGTCATGGAGCTGATGAAAAGAGGAGGAGGAGGAGAGGTCGTGACTGCTGGCCGTCAGCTGGTTAGAGATGTTAGGAGTTCACAGCTTTGGTGTTAGTGAGGGAACGTTAACAGCACCGAGTTCAAAAGTTCAAAAACCACAGCAAAACCGAGCCACAACCGAGGTGAGTAACTGTTGTTATGGTTAGCAGATGATTTTAAAATGAGGTTTTCCATTCAGACCCTGTTTAACTTTTGGGTTTATTTCCTCCAGTAACTCTGGTAAAACAACAAACCTGGTTTATGTTTGGAGAGCTGAGGCAGCGCTGGTTGGGTTTCCCTCTCACCGCTAAGTGTTCCTTCACGGCCACCTCCTGCAAACACAGGGGTTTGGGATTGTACGATTCTTACATGCGCTTCGTATAGTTTTCCATAAAGGTCAGTTTCTGACCTGTCTGAGTCGGTCAAGAGTGAGGATGTTCTCCACCGCCAGGATGCTGCACAGATATTTCTCTATGGCCGCTTCGCTGTCGGCCGACGGTTCGTCTTCGGCACTGGCAGCGATCCGAGCCAGCATCTCTCTGTCCTCTGGACCGTAGATGTCCTGTAACGGCAGGGACGCGGTACGTTCATTTCATTTGTACACGGGGGGGGGCAGCAGACCAGCATTTGAAAAACGAAGACGGATTCAGTTCTCACCCCCGGGATGTTGGAGACAATTTCAAACGTGACTCCACAGCCGGGGATGTTGCTGCGCTGAGACATTCTCTTCAACAGACTCTGAGCGAAACCCTGTCAACACAAACAGGAATTTAAACACGCGTCCCGGAGACGTCGCGGCCGGTGTGGTCTCAGTGTGCCGCCGAACCTGTTTCCCAACGAGGTTTACGCAGATGCGCTTCCTCAGAACCAGCTCCATCTGGGCCGGGTGGCTCAGCTGGACCACGGCGCGGACTGTCAGGTAAACCCTCTGGTCGCCCGACGTCACGCGACTGAGCTCTGGGCAGTCGTGAACGGTGGAGTCCCAGGAAGCCTCCACCTTAACCTGCAGCACGGAGGAATCGTAGAGAATAAAAAGAAAAAAAAAAAGTCGTCCCTCAACCTGGGGTTCAGAAGGTCAACTATCTGCAGCCTGGATTACTGCGCCGTACCTCGGAGTCGTGGTGTTTTACAATGTGAAGGTCAAAGAATTCGTCTTCGTTTTCCTCACTGAGACACGTGTCCAGGCCTCCGGCCGGTGGAGGGGACAGATGGGACTGGAAGTCGTCAGCTGAGGGATGAAAATGCGCATCTTTGTTGGTTAAAGGGACAGTGATTTCTGAGTTATAGACGCGACAAAAGGACAACGTACCACTGAGATCTAGGAACAGGACCGGAATGTGCGTCTCCATTCCAGGAACTGGAACTCTGTGGACGGACAGTCTCATTCATTCATTCACGCCGTACCAAAAATAGTTTCACAAAAAAAAAAAAAAAAATCAGTTTGGATGAAGCCGTGGAGCGGTGATCATCAAGCGGTGGTGCGTGGCCCAAATCTGGCCCACTCAACCATCCCATACGGCCATTGATTTTTTGGGGGTGACATCATCTTCGATAGCAGCTATTTCTAGGCTAAAATATTTTTAAATGCCCAACATGAAAAAACATGCATTTCAAAGCTCTGTTGAAATATAACTACATTTTTTTTTCTTTTTTTTTTTTTTTAAATCAGCTTCAAATGTTTACTAACCTTTCTGCCGGTGCTCCAGGGATGCCGCTGCCAGATGACGGCACCATGACAGCGTTTCTTTCTTCTGTCAGAGTCAGACGACACTCCAGCAGTTGCGACTCCCGTTCAACGTCGTCCTCCGACTTATCTACGGATTCCACGGAACAAAAGTGTGACGTTAACTTCGGAATCGCACGCACACAAAATTGTAAAAGTACAGTAATCACTAAATAGCAATACCTGCTTTGGAAAAAACATTCTGTAGCTGCTGGTCCAAATACTCCTGCCTCTGAGTAAGTGTGTGCAGCCACTGTTTCCGCATCCTCTCCAAGTCCACCTCCTAATCATCAACAACAACAACAACAAAAAAACAAAAAAAAAAAGTGTAGCATGGGGTACACATATTGGGCCATTACAATGCTAGGCTATTTTTGACTTACTTGATAGCTGTCCATTTCCTCATCTCTACTCTGAAATGTAAATATTAAAAAAAAAAATAAAGTCACACTCAAAGCAGCACATTATCAATACAAAAAAAAAAAAAAAAAAAAAAAAATTTCAACTATTCCGGACCCTCACCCAATGGGATTCCCCGCCTCTGGAGAGAGCTGCTTGTCGGATTTTGACATCTCCAATGGACACCGACAGGACGGCGGCGGTGATGAGCGGCATGGTTCCTGAATCTGGCACCGGCCGCACCTCCACCTGAACCCGACGGGACTGGCCCTGCGGGAGCGTTTTACGATTGAGCGTCAACTACCGTGTTCGTCTAATCGATCGATCGATCGATCAGTTCCGTGACATTGTTCAAGACCGAGCGGCGACCTGTTTGAGCTGGAAGATTCCTCCGGTGCGGACGTCTTTGGCCGGCAGAACCTCCACCGCCGTGAACTCTCCGGCTTCATTCAGCTCCATCAGCTGCACCCACAGCTCCAGGCGACGGATCACCTCACTCCACCTGCAGCCACGGAGGCGGAGTGAGTCTCTTTTTGGACACAAAACTAATGATATTATCATTGACACCCTACCTCTCCCTCAGTGATCTGGTCTTGGCCTGAATCACCCCGAGGTCCCAGAGAGCCAGGTTCCTGCGGTGGTTGACCTGTTTGTGTCCGTACACCTCGATGGCCAGAGCCCCGTCGGCCAGGAAGTCCACGAGATCGTCGGAAACAGGGACGGACAGCTCCTGGGCAAACGTCGTAAAAGCGGTAGAAGACACGTCTGCATTTCTGTGGGTGAAAGTCCTGGCACGTCTTAAGGCGCTTTACGTCTTACCTTGTTGTTGTCAAAGACCACGCTGCACTGAGGGTCCCTGAGGTCGGACGAAGAAGAGCTCAACGATGACATCTCTGGAGCGATGAACACCGGTTCCTCCTGACCCCAGAAGTGGTACTGGCAGAAGACAAAGTTTGACAGGTGGCGAGGGAGGCCAGTGGCCTGGAGGATATTAACCTAGAGGACAGGGGGACAAATGAGACAGGCAGATACTTTAAACCCTAGGAGTCTCCACTTGATCAAGTAAATAGCAACTTTAAACCCTAGGAGTCTCCACTTGACTTGAAGTTTAGGTAGAATCGTCCAAACCAACTGAGTTTTTAAAGATACTGACCACTGCTGACCGCCAAGACCAGTTTTGGAGATGGTCAGCTCCAGGCGGTCAAGATTTGGACTTATCTACTCAGACTGTTAAAGGAGACACGTCTCTACTGTAGGCCCTTACCACGCAGTCGAGTTTACGTTCGGCTGAATCCCCATCTGAGCCGTGGCCCTCCTGTAGCGAGCCGCCATCTTCCCCGGAGCTCTCCGTGCCGCGCCACAGCTCTACGTGCAGCCGACCTGCCACCTGACGTACGCAGTTGGGTCAAATGCTTTTTTTTTTTTAGTGCAGCTCAAAACCAATTTTAACGGACGCCTAACGTCCACATACCTCGCCCTTCTGGTTGATGATTGGCACTGCATACTGCAGCTTCACATGGTAGAACAAGCAGGCCAGGAAAACATTGGCCACTCCTATTAGACTGTGATTTTCCTGCTCGTCGAAGAACGGGTCAGCACGTTTGAAATAGGAACGCATCACCTGGATTGAGGTAAAAGAAGAAGAAGAAAAAAGTTTTCATATTATATATTAATATTTAATATATATTCTATGCCAATACTGCAGGTAAGGTAGAAGAAGAAGAGGAGAATAAAAAGTTAGTCTTAATATAATATATTAATACATAGATTAATATACTGTTCTTTACTCACAGGGTTGTCCTCATCAATCTACGACTGCTCTTTACTCACAGGGTTGTCCTCATCAAAATCCTTCCACTCCTGGTACAGCTCCCTCATGTCCACCAGCCTGTTCTCCATCTTCTCCAGAGCCCAGATCTGTTTCCCTTTACCTTTGCGACGGACCTGGATGGCTGGCTCACTCAGAACCACGTCACGCTATTTGAAAAAAAAAAAACAAAAACAAAAAACAAAACATTGACATTTTCATGTGTTTTTGAAACACAACTGATAGTCGCACTGAAATAACTGGAGATCCTCTACCTTCCTGTTGGCATTCAGGTTAGAAGCCGGAATTTGCAGAGTGACCACGTACTCCGTCCTCTTGTCAAGTTCCTCGGCGATAAAGCTGGCCTCCTGAGCCAGCAGGTTGGCTCGAACGATCTGCTCTCTCAGGCGCCGCAGACTGCGAGTCATCATCGCCTCTCTGAATCCGAAATTTAAAAGAGCGACGCAGGTTTAACAACGGGAACATCGGCTTCTCTTTTTTTCCCCCGGAGTCCACAGCAGGTTCCTCTTTACCTGTCTTGACTCCAACGCCGCAAGGCTTTGTGGCTACCCGGGGACGTCACGGCACCGGCGCCGCCGACCGGTGAACCTGACGCATCCAGTCTCTGACGGAGCTGCTCCAGCTCCTGCTCGTACATCTGCCTCTGCCGCTCCAGGGCGCTGCGTTTCTCCTCCTCGTGCTGCCGCTCCAGGGTCTGTAAGACGGACTGTAAGGGGTCTGACGGGGAGGGGAGCAAATGTTGGATTGGATTGGATGACCAGCATGCTACGTTTTGCTACTTTAATCACTCACATTCTGTTTTTTTTTTTTTTTTTGTTTTTTGCCACTCACCGTTGCTGCCCATGCCCTTCATCATGACCTCGGCCTGGGCGGACTCGTAACTGAAGCTGAGCTCGCTGGAGACGTCGCTGGACGCATCGAACTCCAGCTCGAGCCGGTCGGTGCTCAAACATGTCTTCATAGAGGTGCCGCCCGCCTCGTCGCCATCCACTGCGTGGAAGGTAGATTTGGGCAGACTGATCCTGTCCGTGCACGACCAAAAAAAAAAAAAAGAGGAAGAGGAAAAAAGACCAACAGGGAAAAAACAGGTAAAAAAATATATAATGAATCGTCCATTAAATGGGGAAA